ATACTCCCCCACATTCCCACACACACTCTCACGCATTCCTACACTCTCTTACACAATCACTCCACACTCACGTGATGGTATACACCCCCCACAAGCACGAGAATGCATATACACCCCACACACACAATCTCCTCACACAATCTCTTGCAAGCCTACAAAATCCCACACATAAAACCCCGCGCATACCCACACACTCCCTCCCCCCTCCCCTGTACGCGTGTCTGGCACACTCCACCTGAAATCGCAGCATGTACTGCTCACCACTCACGTGCCGTCGGTACGGCTCACGCTGGCTGTAAACCCCTGCTCCACCTGTCTATACCTCCGTCTCTTCACGGCCTAGTGTGAGTACAGCTTTCAAACGAGGGGGAGGGGGGGGGGGAATGCCCTTCTCCATCTCACCCCCCCCCCTCTTCACACACGCGTTCCAAGTTCCTAACAAGGGGGTCTCGTTTACTATAAGGTTCTTCCGCCCCCGCCCCTCCACACCTTCCCAGTCACTGTATACATGTGCTATTTATACCTTACGAGTGTGGGTTTTTTTTACCTTGAGGTTACTCACCCCCCCCCTCCCCTCTTTTTTTTCGCCACGCGACCTATTAAAAGAAAGATTTGTTCACTCCTGACATATTCGCTGATTCCGGAAACTTTTGTATTTGAATTGAAGGCAATTTTTTTTTAACTACCTGCATGATACATGCATACTTAAAAAAACAAAAAATGTGGAAAAATTCGTATTTTTTTCTTCTATGCCGTGATACATTTTTGTTTTAAAGAATGAACAGCTAGCATGAATAGATATGGGTGATTTTAAAACTACACACCGCGTGTTAACTACTGTAAGTTTGTTTCGATAAAAAACTCAACAGTCTTATCTTTGAAAGTGCGACTTTTTTCTTTCCCTTCTTCCTTTCGGAGAGCTTAGCTGATAGTTAATTAAGATAAATTACACTTGAACTGTTCGTTACCTGTACATTAAATTAAAAGACTCGATGCAAAAATACTATCAAACGCATTGATTGTTAAGGAAAAATCTTTGATTACCTTTAAATTCGCCTAAAAATCTCTATATTTAATTGAAAAAAAAATGGGCACAAAATGCTAAATAAAATTAAGACAAAAAATAAAGTAATATAACAAATATTAGCTATTTGGGTTTGTAAAGATGCGTACAATGCTTTAGGTGACATTGTCACAATTTTAAATAATGGGGTGTTTTAATTTTTCGTTTGAAAATGTAATAAATTTAAGTGTGTGTAATGGGGGGGGGGGTATAGTACGATTAATTTAAATCCCAACGGGTCATTTATTCAACGTACTTAAATCCCCTAAGATTGAATCTACCCCCCCCTCCCCCAAGCTTTGCAGATTTAACCGGCCTTAATCGTCCCCCCCCCCCCCCCCCCCCCCCAAGCATATTATCATTAACTGACCCAAACATTGTTCCATATTCACCAAGGCGACTGGTGCTGAAGCCACAACTGCTCTACATATTGATGAAGTCTGACGTAAGCGCATTAAATTTTTCCACCCCTCCACCCCCCCCCCCCCCTCCCTCCCTGTCAACTAGGCCACAGGACACGACACAGTCAACCAGAAGAGAAGAAAAAAAAAAGAAAACCGGGTCAGAAAGAAGAAAAAAAAACGCGCACCAAATCATGCACACATTTTGACACCACTACCGGTTTTATCTTTTATAATATTACCTTGTAGCACACCTCCATTAACTCCTGTCTTTAATCTTTGAGAGGGGAAAAAAAAATTTAATTGAAATTCTAATAAAACATGAAGACTGCACTACCCAAGATGGGGGAGGGGGGGGGGGGAATCCTTGTACGCCGGGGTGAAGGGGCGGGCAGTGAAGGAGCGAGACGGAAATAAAACGTAATAGCATGTTATCTGTGATGAGGGCTGAAGACAAAGGCGGCGAGGGTTACCCCGGTCACGTGCCTCTCCTTACACACACACACACGCGCCCCCCTTTCACTTCGGTACCCCCCGCACACACTAACATTGGACACCCAATTTTTGTTTTTTTATAACAAGAAAACAGGAAAAGCTTTAGACGTTTGGTGCGATGTGTGTGTGTATAATGTCTGTGTTAAAAACGAGGTCTTGATAATTTTTTTTTTATCTCAAGCAAAGTAGCCAGCGTCTAATTTGACAAGAGAGGCGAGACTTGATTTACACCGGCATGTCAGACGCCATAACGAAACCGAATACGTTGAAATGTATCCGCCGTGTTGTTTATGTTCCGGATGTGTTTCACGCTAGGATTGAGCCGTTTTCGTCCCCCCGCGGCGTACTTTTGCTGACGTCCTCGACACGGCTGGACAATACGGTGTGTAGGACACTTCGGGGGCTAGGCTTTAAAGATTGCGGTCAACCTAAAGCTAGTTTTGGCTAGACAGAACTCGCTTGAATATCGTGGTAGTCGCGTTTGGCATGTTTAATTAATTATGTTTATTGATATAATGTCTATGCTATATAAATAATGGAGTATTGGTATTACTGATGTCCTGTATGTGTGTCATGTTGTTAGTATCGTAAAATCAGCGTTAGGTAAGAAATTACAGTTATGAAATTTTAATTTATCCACAGTTGCCTAAAGATAACCGATTAGCTTATTATAACAGCAAAGGAAATTTTACGACAATTTATTTTCTTGGTGTGAATTTCTCTTTGTATAGCTATTTATCACGGCTATAAAAGGTCAGGATTTTAGTAATTCATTTTGTAGAGATATACTATCTCCAATGCTAGAAATATTATTTCGTTACCCACTGTTATAGGCGTATTATCTTTTTAGTATGTAGCAGAATAAACATTCTTACAGTAATGATATACACACTTGAATTTGATACAAGATGACCTGAGTTTAAATAAACAATATATTACTAATTTCGGGATGAGCTATCAAACCCCCCCCCCCCCACCCCTACAACGGAAGTGACGCATAGTGAATTTTGCATACCCACTGACACTGACGTTGTACCGTTGTCTTGTGTCAAGACAAACGATGTCGTTTATGGACATGACTCACCGGTCCCGTTACTTAGACGGGTATGAAGTGCTATTTATCAACATCACTGGACCACGATGAGATCAGTAATGTTGATCTACTACGTTCGAAAAATATTCGCCGCATGTTTAGGTGCAAAACAGAGGGCCGATAGAAATAGTTTTAGGTAGGCCCTGTATAACTTCACCGGTAGTAAAGGTTCATTCATAAATTTATAGTCTACATACATTTAGATTCTATAACGAGAAGTTCATTTCCGAACTCTGTTTAAATTATGATTTATTTATTAAATGGTTTGGGAAACAAACTCCGACTCGTCCATTGTCTTGTTGTGTCCCCACTCCCAGCCTCCCCTCCCCTGCCATCTGCTACTGGCTATTTTTAAGAGGTGTCAGTGCACGAGCTAGGCCGCGATGACCAGAGGTGAGATAAAAATAGTACCCGTACAGGAAGGGGGTGGGGGAGGTGGCGTGCATTGTGTGCATTCATAGAGCTGTCCAACGGTTGACCCCGGGTTGTGTGAATGGTTTAAAAATAGAACGTTAGTCATAGCTAGTGTAGGAGGCGGAGAGAAACAAAATATAAACAGCTATTGACATAAACATCTGATCCTCTATTCCTCAGAGAGAAGCCGAGTGACGTAACAACATATGAGAGAAAAAAATAACACATAACTTCAGGGGAGGTTGATGTGTTGTTTTTTTTTTTTTAAAGAGGAAAAAAAACTAATGAAATCCAAGGCTCAACGGTATAGCGGGTCGATGCCGGTTGGTTGAGGCGGCAGAACAACGGACGGCAACGAGCAGGCGGAGAGGAGAAACTCAACGGTGGAGAAGTTGTGCCTCGGGCGTCAATTCCATGACATTTTTTTTTACCACTATATGATATTTTTTCTCTCTCTCTTCTTCTTCTTCCTCCGATGGAATGTTTGACTAAAGCAGGTGAAGTTCGCGTGCCTGTTCGGTAGTACAACGGTAGCGGTCTACAACTACACTATTTGTCTTGGGTTCATCTTCACCCCTCCCTCCCCCCACTTTTTCGCCTGGCGGAGCAGTCGAGATAAAGCCAGACACGAGCGGGGCGAAGATTTTTCTCCCCCAGTCATTATCTCCCACCAGTGACCACAAGGACAGTAGCCACAGGGATATTAATAAACTACAACAACTGGCGGATTCTCAACGTCGTATTTAGCACACAGCGATACACCAGGATTACAACAGAGGGGGAGTTCTCGTTGACTCTACCGGTACAAGCGGCTAGTACAGCCCCGCAGATTTTCAAACATCTCACTACTTTTTTCGTTTGTTTTCTTGTGATTGGTCAGCTCACGATACGAGAGAGGGGCCTCGGCGTTATCAAACCAACGTTTCTCGTTATGTAACGTGAACTAAAACTGGATGTGGCCGCTGGTTTGATTTCACCGTAATCGTCTGCTGAGAGTATTATTTCCTTCTCGTTGAGAAAACAAAAAGTGGATTATGTGTCGCTTGATTCAGACTTGTGATTGGATTTCGTGAAACATTAGTGTGTTGGTGGTTTTTTTTTTCTTAAAAAAGTGTAAGTGCACAAACATTCTTTCAAGGATTATACAAATAAACGACGGACTATCCCGATTTTAGGATTAACTCCATTATTCATATGGGATATTTTAGCGACAGCTGATTTCTATTTATAACCACGAACAGCGGATGTGTATAGTTTATTTATAGATACACTGCGTATAGGAAAATACGTGTACACAGTCTTACTCAAAGCAACGGGAATTTTTTTTCTTTTCTTTTTAAAGTGAGCGAGAGACAAGATTTTCGTGAAATTTTTGTGCCGTTAATAAAATAAAAAACCCAAGGCTGACCAATGGAAGGAGAGAATAGGTGAGAGGCGGGCAATGACCGGACCGGCACCTGGTGAGGTTGTGTCAACAAAGGATGAGAGATAGGACGAGGGAATTCTTGTCGTCGGTTCATAGGAAAATATACTCAGTACTACGTGTAACCAGTGATGGTTTATGTGTGTTAACATACAACACAAACGTAACACTTGCTGTTTTTTTTTATTAAAGGACTGTATAAAACCGAAACTTATTAGTTGCTGTTTCGTAAAAGTACTGTTCAGATTATAATGCTACGTTGTTCGTTTCTCAAGTCAACAAATTAATCAATTACGACAAGAAACGCCCCGCGTGACGTGCCATGGTGACAGGATCAATAATGACAAGGTGCGTATAGCCGAGGAAGTACGGTACGTCCAGGAGAATGTCACCTCCCAGGCTCCACGCGAACGTGCCGGTCTACGTCCTTCTGCTGACCTGCTGGGCGCTGTCCAGCAGCCTGACGGACGGCAACAAACCCCTGTGCGAGTACAACCCCTCCCACACGGTGGCCAACTGCAGCGGCAACAAGCTGGAGACGGTGCCGTGGACGCTGCACAAGAACCTGCACCGGCTCGACCTGAGCAGCAACAGCTTCACCGTGGTCAAGAACGTGAGCTTCATCCACTACGAGTACCTGAAGCACCTGTACATGAAGAACAACAGCATCGTGGAGGTGGAGGCGCGGGCCTTCGAGAAGCTGATGCACCTGGAGCTGCTGGACCTCTCCAACAACAAGATGGTGCACATCCCGGCCACGGCCCTGGAGACCGTCAGCTCTTCTCTGGAGAGGTTGTATTTATCTGGCAACAAGATACACTCGGTCCCCAAAGGCTCGTTTCACAAACTCCTCAAACTAATAGAACTCGACTTAAGCGGGAATAGTATTAAAGTAATTGACTACGGTGCTTTGAAAGGGTTAGTTTCTCTTCAGATCTTTCGGATTCGTCACAATGCTTTAGAGACCTTACCATCTGATGCTTTTGATGATTTTTCCAAGAATGTCAAAGTACTGCAGATCTATGAAAACCCTTGGGTGTGCGACTGCAAGATGAGGTGGTTACGGACCTGGCTCAATGAAACAGACCCAACTGTTTGGACATCCTACGGCTACCAAATCAGGTGTGAGAGGCCCTCTATAGTCAGAGAAAAACCTCTAGACACCCTGCCCTTAGATGACTTGGCCTGCGACATCAGCATGAAAACCAGCGCCTTCTCCAACGAGAACTTGGCACCCGGGGAAAACACAACCCTGTGGTGTAAATACACCTCTATCCCTGATGCTGAGGCCAAGTGGTTGAAGAACTCTGTTGTCATTGACCCCAACAAGGAAGACCAGAAGTACAGCATAAGCGCCTGGAACCAGGACGGGTCCTTCGGAGAAAAGACTCAGTTTAGTGAACTCCAGATCCGCAACTTCCAATACTCCGACATAGCCAAGTATAAATGCTTTGTTCAAAACATCCGAGGCACTGCCTCCACAGAGTTCAAGCTTAGCCTGTCTGGAATCCCTTACGAGTCAGTGACCACGCCGGTGCCTGGGGTGGCACATGCCAGTGCCAGCGTGGACATCAGGAGTATTGTCATCTCTGTGGCGGTGGTGTGTGGGATCATCCTCATCATCGTCATCAGTGTGCTCATCTTCTGCACGGTGAATTATGTGCAGAGGAAGAAACAGGAGAAGAAAAATAAAATCATGGAGAATGTCAAGCAACACTTTATCAACAACAGGTACGTCATTTGTTTATACTCTTTACTGTTATGTATTATCAATGAGTACCCTTTACTGCTACATAACATTCTATTATCAAAGAGTATTTTTGTACTGTTACATAGCATTGTATTATTAAAAAGTATTCTTTACTGTGTGTCATCAGCATTGTATTCTAGCAAAGTATTTTTCACTACTCCATAACATTCTATTACTGCAAAGCATTCTTGGCTGCTACATGAAAATGATATAATGGTATGTTTTCTGATAAAACAGTCTGACAGTTATACAGTAACATAGTTCAACACTACAACAAAACAAATAATCTATAGCAAAATGCAAATGAGTACAATGAGACATAGTATTCTCTATGCACACTGTCTTTGAATATTAAAATGAATCAACCTCATTAAATCATTGAGTTACAGTAATGGATTCTTTTGTCCATGTTTTACTTGCACACTTGTTTGTATTGTATCAGTCACAACCTCCAGTAAATTTGGCCTAGTGGATTCATTTGACATCTTACATTTTCTATTTTCTAATGCATTGCCCACTTTGATTATTGGAAATATTTTTTACTGTAATTAACCTTTTTTTTCCAGTGAAAAGGCAAGCAACGGAGACATTTCAGGCTTGAACGACACCAAATTAAGTAGCAAATCAATGGAGGACAAGCTCAACAGCTGCCAGGAGGATGACCGGTCCACCTCGAACAACACCAACGATTCCAACACGACCACCGTCAGGCGGCCGCTCATTATCCAAGACACTGAACCCCCCTATGTGTTCCAGCAGCCCGGCTCCCCTTTCAACAACGGCAACACCTACGTCTCCTTCGGGAGCGAGCTGACTGACCCGGAGGAGTTCCCACCCCCGCTGCCTCAGTACGGCACCTCCCACGCCGGGTCGGCCACCCCCCTTCTAGACAGGTACACGCCAACTGTGTTTGACAGCGAGGAGATGGTGGAGGATTATTCCCAGTACCCCGTGTACGACTCCCTGACCAAATCACTGCAGCACCCTAATGCTCAACAAAACGATGTCATCTACGCCTCTAGAATAGACAGCACTAGCAGCTACGCTAGTATCCCATATCACAATGGTAATGGGGACGGGGCCAAGAGCCTCAGCAGCTTTAACACTTACTCACCAAACATTAACGGCTCCACCCCCAGGGCTGTTGGTAGCACCAGGTCCATAATAGCCTTGACGCCGAGGTACGCCGACTACAACGGGGACGGCAGCCCGCGCCAAGACTACCACCGCCAAACGCCCAACTCATCAGACTATCGAGATTACCGAGACCTGAGGTACCCGCCCCCGCACCGGATGACCCACACCACACCTAAGAGCATGTCCGTGGGTAACCTCGGTTACTCGCCCATGTCCACCGGCCCCAGGAAGCCGCCCCGCCTGTTCCAGTCCAGAGAGTACATGGAGCTGACGCCACAGGACAGCAGCGCGGACTACATCACATCGCCTGAAGCTCAACAGTACAGCCAGAGTTATGGTATAACTCCCGGCACGCCGGTGTGATTGCCATACGTGGATTATGTTACTTCAAACATCTCCATATCAGTGGGAGGACATGGAAAGAACAAAAAAAATCTATTCCCATTTCCTAGGGATATTACTATTGTATCATGCCAAGGGATTTTAAGTGCTACAACTACTTAATGTTTTAACACTTAGAAATGATGATTAAAGTAATTCTGCAATATAAAGAGGTTTTATATAAACAAGTATTTTAAATACAGTGGAAGTTGTGAGAAATGAAGGAATTATAAATTGATGATGCCATTTAATGGCTGGAGATTCATTAGCTTAATTAGATTTCATAAGCTTTTTTTTAAGTAATGAAAGATTTGAAAAGTAAAAATAATTTATGAGAAGGCAAATGACAAAGTTTGACACTCAGAGTGAATCAGTTTAAAGTTGTATAAAATTTCATGTCTATTTTATTCTTTGCCACAACAATGGCGCCTTTTCAGATTCTCAATTTTTTTTAATAAAAGAACCACAAATGGTATTTGTATAATATCAATCATAAATTTAAATTAATTACAGTTAATGCATTCCTAACTATGCTCTCAAGGCAACTATCAGTTTCAGCTTGGACTCAATGTGTTTATACTTGAGCGAAATAGCGGTGGTATTTTATAAGCACGTTCATGAACATTATTTTTTAAATAGCTGAGACCATTTTTGTTGGCTTGTGTGTGGAGAGAAAAAAAAAATCTGTGTTGTTACATGGCTTCAAAATGATGCTTTTAATTTATTATTGATGCTCTCAAAAGACAGTAAATTAAATTTGCTACTAGGAAAAATCAATACAAAAGCATTTAGGTTAAAGATGAAATATCAGCCAAGCACAGTCATGTTAGTAGTAGTGTTCTGTCCTGATCTTACACAGTACACAAGAAATTAAACAGTGCCTGGCGTTTGAATGTCTTTCACATAAACAATGGCGTTAGAAAAATAGTAGTCGGCCATGACATTTTAAATCAAGCTTAGTAATTCTGACTTGAGTGTTAGATGGTAAAAAAATAATTGTACAGTTTAAAAAAAAACTTTTTAAAGTCTTGACATAGCAGCAACTGCTTTTAATTATGAACATGGCTTTTAGTCGCTGAACATATTTGCTCTTAAGTTTAATTGTAAATATTTATTTATTGTAAAAAAAATAATTGGCAAAGATGTTTTTAAAATATTAATTAGGGATGTTATAGTTATGAATAAATAAATATCCCATTGGTTAAAATGTTAAAGAAGATAATGCAGCAAACTTCATAATAATGGCAGGCTTGTATGATACTGAAAGCTTAATTCAAGAATTTTTTTTTAAATACAAATTTGGGGTTTTATAATTTATTTGTACAAAACCTTAAAACTTTGAAAAAAAAAAAAAGGAATTCTAGATAACAGGACAGAAAATTTTGATTTAAAAGTTCCCAGTGGTGTAGAGGGATTAATGCAGTCATTAAAATTTCATTCACCTTAAACATTACCATACGCTGTATACTAAAGACATATTAGAGGGACCAGATTCACATGTAGCTCCATTAGTCTCAAATGACCAGATCAATTCATTTTTGTTTAAAGCCATTTTACTTTTTATGAGAGCAAGGGTGAGATTTGAATCCCAATGTTATTCCTATTATAAACCAGTTTTTTTTTCAATACAATATTATTGAATAATATTTGAATTGTTATGTAGGATATTTCAATTGCTAATATGAAAATATGTTAGAATTTTGTGAAAAACTCATTGTTTCTCATCATTGTTTTCTTGATTTTCTGTCTACTTCTATAAACCCTCTGTGCACAAACATCAGTTCTTCTTGAAAGGAGTTTATATTTTTCTTTAAATAAAATAAACTCTTTGAATATTTACATTAGAATAATATTCAGTAAACATTTTACTAAACTACTGTTCAAATGAAAGGGGAACATGGGAATTTTAATTAAACCAGGTGTCTGTTTATTTAGTTAATTTTATTTGTTTATTCAAGTTAACACAGGTACAATAAAATTTTAAGAAAGCCTAAACGAACCTGTAACAAAAACCTCAACTGTTTATACAGGGGGAGATGAAACATCAATTTTTATTTTCTTTCTCTCCAATAACAACACCCCACCCCTTCCGCAGTATTTTCTTCACACCGCATTATTTTCTTCACCCCCACACCTAATTGGTTTCTGTTCTAACCCCACCAGTTGCAAGCAGCTTCTAAATCTCCATCAGCTGATGAATCACCTGCTGCCCCCCCCCCCTTTTCTTATTGATTAAAAAATATTTGTTCAAACCATGTGTCTCCCAATAAACCCTATGTTTATATTGCCCCCCTCTGGTGTGTTCAGCCTGTGGCCAAACACAGTGCAGTGTAAGGAGGTCAGACCTGGATCACTGCATTACAAGGTAGCGGGGGCGTAACACACACCAGCAACGCAACATACATGTTAACGTATATGTTTAGGACAAGTGATACCTCTGTATGTGAACCAAAGATGTATGTGAATTGACAGACAAGAAAGTGTACACATAGTTTTAATGCTAGGTTAAGGACCAGTAATACATCTGTATGTGAATCATACATGTATATGATTGAGAGATCTGGTCAATGTATAGATCCAGAGTTTAATAATAGCCCAAAATAGTAGAGGAATTGGTTAATTATGTATAACAGTACTGTTGTCCAAGGGAGGTAAAGTGGAGAAAGGGGAGGCGAGCAAGTTGCACATACAACACAAGATCAATAATCAAAACTTTGGTCTCTATTTCATCATTACAGTAGGGAGAAAAATGTTAGCCATGAAGAAATGTTAAGTGCTAGGTAAATTTAGCTTACCAATACTGTTTCAATACAGGTCGTTTTCTCCCCATACATGTACTTTCTTAAAACTCATCACAAATCTTTTAACATGTATATCCAAGATACAATTATGCTCAATACAATCAGTATTTCATTTTGCAACCTTTAATAAGAAGGTAACATAAACATACACATTATGAAGTTTGTTCTAGAATATTATATAGGTATGTATGTTGCTAGGAACTTGCTCTCAACAAGTTTTTAAATACTTTAAAGTTGTTTTTTTTTTAACACTCCTGTTTATTTTGGTTGAAAATAAATTAGGTTTTATTATACTTTTTAAATAAAATGTTGGTTTAAGAACTATGTTCATTTTTCCTTTCAAAATAGCACATAAAAGTTCCAATTTAATTACTGTTTTATTTAAGATATCAAGAAAGCATTGAAAATTGTTTTTTTTTAAAAATAAAGCAATTTTAATGGATGTTACTTTTCTTTTGTTGTATGGTTGTTGTTTTTTTTAATTTGAAAAACAAAACTGCTGTTGTTAAAACTTTTTACAAAATTTTAAAAAATTCAATTTTTTTATTGTTAAAATGTGTGGAAAAAATGGAACTTCTTAAAAAGAATAACATAGAAAGTAATTATCAGCACTGTATTTGTTTATTATTATTACATTAATTTATATAATGCATTCACTTTTTGGGATGTGTTGTATAAGGAAGGAAATTCGTGGGTTATAATAAAACAACTGTTAGAGGATTAATTGTTTCATTATTATAATCGTCAAAACATTCATCATCAGACAAAGACTAATATAGAAGAAGAGAGATTTAACATGAATTGTTGCCTTGTAACAGGATACTAGAAACTGTCAACACTGAAGCTACTTAATAATTCATTCAGGGGAGAGAATGTGCTTGTTATTTGAAGCTGCTAAAAAGAATGTCTGTAATGAGTGCGTGCATCTATTTATTTTTGCTTGTTGATTGACAGATCAGAAGAGAAAAAAAAATGAATTCATACTATGTTGCTTTGTCATGTCTGCTTCTTCAAAAGTCAATTGAACAAGCTGATAATTTCATCATTGTTTGTCAGATCAATAAATTGTTTATATATTTCCATTATCATGTCAAGTTATTTACACTGTTGTCAAAGGGATGTAATCTATAAAAAGGGGAGGTAAAAAGCTACATATGTAACAGTGAATGCAAGTTTCCAGCTGGTATGGTTTGCTATGAATACTTGAATACTTTAGTATTCAATGACAGTAAGCTGGATGACACTTAGCCAGTTAGCAGCCTGTGGTTATTTAGCTCTGTAGCATTATGTACCCATGTGTAGCTATGTAGCCTCATGTGGCTTTATAGTTGTATGTCATTGGTAGCTTTGTATGGCTCTGTGGCTGTAAGTACTAGCCATATGTACAAACTTTACACACTGTGACCAACACACTGGGCCCTACACACTAAAACCCACACAAAGTGACCACTACCAGATTCCACAAACTGGACTCTACACATTGTGAACCACACACTACGACCTCAACATCCAAACCTACACAATGGCTACACACTAGAACCTACACACTGTGACCCACACACTAAAACATACACACTGTAACCCACACACTAAGACCTACACATCAAACAACTACACAGTGAGACAAGCACTAGAACACACACACACTGAAACCCACATGCTAGGACCTATACAATAAGATCAACACACTGGGTAATACACACTAGCCCACTCACTAAAACCCACACTAGATGACCTGCACTGGAGCTAACAAACTTGGACCTATACACTAAGACATACATAACTAAACATACAGAATGGGACAAGTACTTAAACCAATGTACTTGGACATACACACCAGGACATACACACTAGGACGTACACACTAGAACATACACACTAGGACGCACACACTAGAACATACACACTAGGATGCACACACTAGGACGTACACACTAGGACATACACACATGGACATACACACTAGGACATACACACATGGACATACACACTAGGACATACACACTAGGACATACACGCTAGGTCATAAACACCTAAACATACACTATGAGACCAGCACTAAAGCTTACACATTGTGACCTACACACTAGAACCTACCCACTGTGACCCACACACTAGAACCTACCCACTCTAACCCACACTAGAACCTACCCACTAAAACCCACACATGAAGTCCTGCACTGGAGCCAACAAGCTTAGGCCTATCCACTGGGCCCCCTAAACTTCTACCACCACCATCCCCACTAAGCAGATCAAATTGGCCATGACAGGCCAGATGAGAGCTCAGCCGTCCCCCAAAATGAATCCATCCACTGACATAACAAAGCTTCCACTACGCCGCCCACACCACTGTCAACAACTACCCAGAATACCTCACTGCTCTGGGATATCAAAAGGTTCCCAATTTTTTTTTAAGGCAGAGCAGCTTAGTGAGACAAGGGGAAGTAAAGCAAAACAAAGGGAGGTAAGCTAGCAAAAAAATGTTGGCACTGACAAGGTAGGTAGCGTGTTACGTAATAGAGGGGTAACACATAATGTCGAGAGCGCATTTTCCACCACCCTGTATTGTTATATCCACCACCACCCCACCCCATCCCCAACATACAAGAAAAAAATTGTCAAATTCTACATACAATAACAATTTCAGTTTCAACGAGAATTCTTCGTAATTTTTGCTCTAATCAATTACTAGACATATACTAATAGCTAAGTTAGGTATTTTTACTTCCACCCCCACCACACCCCAATCCCTTTGATAATATATCATCTGAACCATCTGAACACTTCCCCCACCCCACTTCACCTTCTTTCTTACAGTAGCGTAACGATGTATTATTTATTCATTCACAAATATGTATATATATATATTGTTACGATCCCAAGTGATCATTACCTGGGTTTGGTCCCATCGAGGAGGGCCAGGTAATTAAAATGAAATGCTTAGGCATGTTAATGCACTGGCCAGCATAGGCCGTGAGAGTCTGGGGGTCTTGACGGCCACACCACGGATTAGATTACGCTGTGGGCGGTGCATACCTGGTGTCTTGGGGGACTCGGCTATTAACGTGGCCAACAGCCCATAAATTACCTGGTGACACCACGGGCTGACCGTTGATGCTTGATCTAGGCTAGTGACGGTCCGTGTTTTACGGCTGGGAAAACCTTCCAGGTCGGAGGGGG